TTGTAACACCTAACATCATATGGTTCACTTTTAAGACTCAGGATATTTATCAAAATGAAGCAAAGATTCTAAACCTTTTGTTTAAATAAGTGATTCAACAGACTCGGAGTTATTAGCCTTCAAGCATGTGAAGGAAGAAGGCAGCACCAGTAATTCTCCTTTTGTAAAACAAAACTAAAACTAAAACCTCACACATACTTACGTCTTTTAGAAACAGAGATGTATAATATATATTAAAATCAGCAAAGTCATTTAATAAGAAAACCAAAATTACAAACTTTCACAGTTTTAAAGTCTATTTTCATAGGATGCAACCGTCTCTGAGGTCCAGGTGTTCTCAAGATTGCTTTTAAAAAATAATATTTTCACATTCGCTACCCTGTACTGCATTTAAGACACACAATTCAATGCACACGAAAAGGAGATGTTTGTAAGAATAGTACTTGTGCATTAGTAAGTACAGTATTGTTTCATGAATGAATGTGTTTATCAGAATCTGCTGCACTTCATACTTTTTGTAAAGGCACATGTATACAACATGTTTCTATGAAAAAAAAATATTTTCAGGAATAAAATTTTTGGAGTAGAATAATACCAGCTTTTTGGTGTCTGTAGGGAAAGAGGGAGCTATTTTCTTTTTATTTTGCTGATGTTACTTTTACCCATGTTAACAGAGTGGTCTGTGGTTTCATTAATTAGCACTAGCTTGAGGGGCACCTGGGTGGCTCAGTTGGTTCAGCATCTGCCTTCGGCTCAGGTCATGATCCCAGAGTCCTGGGATCGAACCCCGCATCAGGCTCCCTGCTCAGCAGGGAGTCCATTTCTCCCTCTCCCTCTGTTTCTCCCCCCGCTCCTTCTCTCTTTCTCTCTCTCTCTCTCCCCTTCTCTCTCTCAAATAAATAAATACATCTTAAAAAAAATTAACACTAGCTTGAAAAGCTCAATAATTACCATTTGCTATCACGTTTGGTGAAGAGTCTGTTCAAAACTTTGCCCATTTGCAGTTGGGAATGGGGGTGGAGAAAAATGGTTTGACTTCTTCTTATTGATTTCTAAAGTTCTTTTTTTTATATTTAAAGTTCTTTATATATTAATATAGATAAAAGTTCTTTGTTGGATATATGTTTTGCAATTATTTTTCTCAGTCCCTGGCTTGCCTTTTCATTTTATTCATTTGAAGAGCAAATGTTTAAAATTTTCATGAACTCCAATTTAATGACTTCTTCTCTTTTAAACCTCCACCTTTTGGTGTTCTATTTAAGAAAGCTTTGCCAATCCCAAGGTCACTTAAGATTTCCTCTTATGCTTTCTTTGAGAAATTCAATAGTTTAAATTAGGTTTATAATGCACATTGAGTTAAGTTTTGTATGTGACATGAAGGAAGTGTCAAGGTTTTTTTGTTGTTTCGGTCTTTTTGTAGATAGCTATCCAGTTAGTTGTTCCAGTTACTTTTGTTGAAAAAATGATCTTTTCCCTCACTTAGGGAAAAGCTGTCATTTCATCTTGGCACTTTTGTTTAAAATCCATTGACTGTATATATTCTGATCGGGGCTCTTTGTTCTCTTGATCTAAATATATTTTTGCTCCAATACCATCAATACCTGATTCCTGCAGGTTTGTAATAAGCCTTGAAATCAGATATTGTATATCTTCCAACTTAGTTCTTCCTTTTGAAAGTTGCTCTACCTTTTCTAGGTCCATTGCATTTCCAAGTAATTTTTGAACTAGCTTGCCAGTTGTACAAAAAAATCCTATTAGGATTTGATCTCCTGATCAAATCCACTGGATCTATCAGTTTGGTAAGAGTTGATTTCTTAGCAATACTGAATCTTCAAATCCATGAACATGGTATGTCTCTCCATTTATTTCTTTAGTTCCTCCCAGCAGGGTTTTGTAGTTTTCAATGTACAGGTCTTGTACATTTTTGTCAAATTTATCCCTAAGTATTTCATATTTTTTATGCTACTGTAAATGGTATTTTAAAAACTAAGTATGTAAAATAATGGTCAGCATCAGTAGCCATTGGAAAAAGCAAATTAAAGCCTTAATTAGATACCACTACAGCAAGATTTCTCAACCTCACATTATTGACATCCTGGGCCTCATAATTCTGTGGTCAGGGACTGTCCTGTGCATTGTAGCATATTTAGCTGTATCCCTGGCCTCCACCCACCAGATGCCAAGGTCACTCTCCCTCTCCCTGAAATGTAATGGTCAACAATGTCTCAAGACATTGCCAAATGTTCCTGGGGAGGTAAAATTGTCCCTGGCTGAGGACTACTATGCTACACAACCCTGGAATGGCTAAAATAAAGAATACTGACCACACCAAGATTAGGCAAGGACATGGAGTAATTGCAACTCTCACACAGTGCCAGTGAGAATGCAAAAAGTTTCCGAGGACTTTGGAAAACTGTGTGGCAGTTTCTTAAGAAGTTAAGTCTAAACCCACCATGTGTTCCAGCCATTCTACTAAAAGCATTTACAAAGAGAAATGAAAGCCCATGTCCAGAGACATGGCCATGAATATTTATAGCAGCTTTATTGGTAATCACCAGAAACTGGAAATAAATCGAATGTCTACCCACAGGTGGATGGATTAATACACCATGCTGTGTGTACACCAAGGAATATTACACAGCCATAAACAGCCATAGACTATTCATACAGACAACAACATGGATTACTATCAGAATAATTACACTGAGTGAAAGAAGCCAGAGCAAGGAAGAATACATATTCTACAATTCTATTTATATCACATTCTAGGGAATGGAATAAACCATCATTATGGTGCAGATCAGTGATTGTCTGTGGACAGAGGAGAGAAGGGGGCATAGGTTAGCAAAGATCAGGAGAGTAGACTTTGGGGTGTGATGGCTGTGCTACTTACCCTAATTATGATTTTGGATTTCATGTGGATGTTCGTATGTCAAAACTCATCACATGGTACACTTTATATATATATGCAGGGTTTTGTATGTCAGGCATACCTCCATAGAGCTGTTTAAAAATTACAATACAGAAAAGCAATTGGCAGGAAGAACATTCTAATAAATAAAGGCTGGGCAATCGTTTGTATTTACAAGGGATACTCATGACACTGACAAAAATCAATGAAATTCCTGTATGTCATCCAACTGTGAAAAAAATAACAATAATCAGAGCTCATTCTCCCTTTTGCTTTGAGAAATGTAACCCTCCCCTCCCTGGCAATTCCCCTGATGGCCCACTATTTTGCCTTTAGGCAAGGATGGTTGGTCAATTATAGATAACACTTAATTTTAAATTAGAAAATTTGGGAAAGTGTTTATCTTCCTTTTGGGTTAGCATTCAGTGATTTTTAAATGACATAAAACCACATCAGTGAAAACTAGGAAGGAAAAATTAACTTCTTTTCATAGCCTAAAGACTCAATGAGTTATAGATCTTTCCTTCGGGAAGGTCTGGCCTTTTATAAATCTTTGGAATGAAAGGAGATACCTGAATTTTGGCCATTTATTAATAGTAAATTTCTGGTGAAAACCTGTGATCACAGAAATTTTATAGATTCAGAATGAAAAAAGCCAATGATTTGCCCTACTTAAAAATCAGGGAAATTCTTACCATTTTTTAACCAAATTATTCATACCATTACTAAGGATAAATCTAGAAGTTAGTTTATCACTATATGATTTCTCCCATATTCAGTACCTGTATATGAATTGTAAGACAACTTTAGCAGATAATTGGTAAATTGACATTGAGAATATATCTCTTCACTGTATTATTATTTTTTAAAAGATTTTATAAGGCGGAGAGGAGCAGGGGGAAGAGAAGACAGAAGGACAGGGAGAGAGAGGATCTCAAACAGAGTCCCTGCTGAGTGTGGAGCGCGATGTGGGACTTGATCCCATGACCCTGAGATCACGACCTGAGCTGAAGCCAAGAGTCAGACGCTCAACCAACTGAGCCACCCAGGCGCCCCTCTTCACTGTATTATTAATTACTTTAACCAAGCGTGTTGACTTTTTCATCATATTGTTCAAGGTCATTATTATTCCATTTAAGCTGTCTTTCTGATTCCTTCCTATCACTTTGGGTGTCAATTCAGTCAGAATGCCAGCAGCATGACTTGCAAGAACACCACATTTTAATTTTAAAAACAAGAAAAGAAAAAAGGGGGAGGGAGATGTAGGGAAACAGATGTACACAGATACAATTTTCTGGCAGAGAGCATTCAAAACAATTATTTAAGAGGCATAATTCCTTTTCAATATGAGATATTGATATATTTATAATGATGGTTTCAGAGTTTTCAGGTGTGTGGTACCTTAAAATGTTCAATAATTGTGTACCACAGCAAGTTGGCCTCTGTAGAAAGAAAAAATTTGATGGTCCTTTGTGTCTCTTTTAGATCTATCAGCCAGCAGTATTGTGCTTGATTTGCACTAACAAGCCATCCTCCATATAATATTAATGCAGTATTAATAACATTCTTTGGTCTAATGTTGCTTTGTTTTCCCCCAGCCCCTGCTCACGGCTACAATTTTCTGAGATGGAAAATTTATTAGCAACTAAAATGTGAAATCTGTTCTGGTCCAAAGAAATAAGTGAATGTGTAAGAGGCTTGTATTTGGCAAACAGCCTGCATACAAGCTATGCTAAAGCCAAGTCGAGATGATTAGCACTTTACCCTCCTTTATCAGACCATGGGGTCTTGTATCTGATCTCTGTTTGTAGAGAAGAACCTTATGCTTCTCATACGTGTAGAAACTGTTTTTCTGCCGTGGGTAGCAGGTGCAGGCTAACCTTGCCCTGTGCGTCCCCCTTTCCCCACCCTTCGCCTTGTTCTCACTGATGGTCCCAGTATGTGCCACTGGGAACATACCAGGTAAGTGACACGCTGAGACAGTAGGTTATCCAGAGTCAGGATCCTGTCACCTGACTTGACCGGTGACTACAGTGTTGCTGAGAGAGACAAAGAGGAGCAGCCTTTATAGTTGGTTCTCTCTTTGCAGAAGGATATCTTAAAATCGGATCTCATTATCTGCTCGGGGGCTGCTGTTCTCTCATTTGCAGTCAGTGCCAGCACCGTGTTCCTGTCCTTGCGAGTACGTATCCTTTCGACTTTATACTCTCCCCACCTCCTTAGTTTCCCTAATAACAGAGCCCGTTGTGGAGTTCCAGGGTACTGGCAGGATAATGGAGCCAGGGGAGGAAAACAAAACTCCAGCTGAGAGGTTTAAGGAGCATATCTATGTGCTGTGAAGGGTTATGTCCAAGATGAAACTTGGTGCGCATGGCAGATTTGGTTCAAGTGCTTTATCCTTTGTTTTCCTGCACCTGGGGAGTGGTGTTGTTGGCTAGAGCAACAACACACATCCTGGGACCCGGGGGTAGTAAGACAGGCTGATGGCACACTGTGGGGAGCAGAGACTGGAGGCATTACCATGTCAGGAGTCAGACAGAGGTCCCGGAGCCAAAAGGAGCTTTGGAACTTAATTTCCAGTTAGAAAAACAAACGTGGAGAGCTCTAGATGGGATTTCTGGCTTGAAGTTTCAACAGTTACTGTCTCCTTATAAAAGTATTATATGCTTAGGCATTCCTTCCAACAAAGGAAAGTCTATTAGTTACATTTGTTATTCTCGACCTCTTCTTTTAAAAAACAATGGCAACAAAGCCAAAGGGCAGAGTTCCCTTGGCCTTTGAACTTCCTGGGGCCAGCTCTCTACCCCCCACTTAGTGGCTCGTAACCCAGGTGGGTTTCGTGTGGAAGAAACGTTCAGAAGCCTGTAACAAGAACTGGGGTTGCCTCTCTGTTCTGCTAGAGGGAAGAGGGAAAGGGCAGTGGTGTTATGGATTATTCATGGGCATCCCTCCCCTCTCCTGCGAGGCTAAACAATGAGATTTGCCCTCTTGTATCACAGCCATTTCTCAGTGTTGTGCTGTTTGCCCTGGCTGGCTCGGTGGGATTTGTGACCCATTATATGCTCCCTCAGCTCCGCAAGCACCATCCATGGATGTGGATTTCACACCCCGTTCTTAAAAACAGAGAGTATCAGCAACGGGAAGTGAGAGGTCAGTAATATATCCCTCGTTAAAAAAAAAAAAAATGATGCAGTGGTAGGCATCCTTTACACCAGAGGGTGTACACAACCAATGTGAATGTTTGAATGCGGTAGAACTATACACTCAAGAATGGTTACTATGGTAGATGTTACATTATATCTCTTTTACCACAATTAACAGAAAGGGGGAAGAGTGTACCTTGGAGTATGCAGTATTGTTCCAGAACAAGAAAGTTAAAGTGGAGAGAATTAGAACTGTGTTTTATAAAAATAGTAATTGGTTATTTAGTATTGGGGAAGATGAATTTAGATCATTCAGTCCTGAAATTTATGCTGCTCCAGCTTAAGCTGACTGGGGACCAGGAAGAAGACTTCACGGCCCTCCCATCCTCCACAAAGTGTTTTTTTGGGGGGCGGGTGCTGGGCAGGGATGTAGCAGAAACTGCTGAACCTTTAGGACCTCTGAACCCTTGAACTTTGCTTCATGGCTTTGCTCACTTAGACCTAAACCCATGCTTGATTGCCTTAGGAGTTCTCGGGGCTATTTTTGGTCATGATCATGTCATAGCCTGGTCATCCAGATAGTGTCAGAACTTCCAGATAAGAAACCTCAGGAATTTCTCTGGTAGCTCTTCCCTTGCTCTGTGATCCAGCAGATGGCGGAAGGATTGATTTATCCCCATTTTTAGACACGTTGAAGTCATCGGTCACAGTTTATAGCTATAGTTTATAACTAGCTAGTGTGAGTCATAACTTTATAGCCCATTGTAACCTCTCTGTTGTAGAGGGAGACAGTCAGTTGTCACCTGCCAGGCACAAGGGTATGTGAGTGGCACCAAGATTTGCTGACTTGCAGGAATGTACTGGACTCACCAGATTGGTCAGCAGTAACTTCAGTATATTAGTGTGACAAAGGGAAAAGGGGGCAAAATAATTTAAAAATGAAGAAACGAAAAGAATCACTTAAAACACTGTCAAGAGCATTTTGTCAAGGAACATCTCTGGGTGGGTATGAGGAGCTGCCTTAATTTAAAACAGCCAACAGGGGCGCCTGGGTGGCTCAGTTGGTTAAGCGACTGCCTTTGGCTCAGGTCATGATCCTGGAGTTCCGGGATCGAGTCCCGCATCAGGCTCCCTGCTCGGCGGGGAATCTGCTTCTCCCTCTGACCCTCCCCGCTGTCATGTACTCCCTCTCTATCTCATTCTCTCTCTCAAATAAATAAATAAATAAACAAACAAACAAAACAAAACAAAACAAAACAAAACAAAAACAGCCAACACAGGAAAATTGTAGATTGTTTACTGGAGAAATATGGCATCATGGGTCCGCTGCCCAGATAGGGTTTAGAAGGTGGAGAGGGGTCACCCTGACCGCTCTGCCCTCAGAGACTGGCTTCTCATCTGCAACACCAGCAGCTAGCTTAAGGGTCAAATTTAATATATTTGTGCTTTATATATATATATATATATATATATAATATGTAATATATATTATATTAATATGTATATATTTTAATTAATTTAATTAATATATTATTATATATGTGTGTATATATATATTAAATGCCCTGTTCAATTTCAGGTGCTACTTCAATGCAAATTATTATCAGTATTACAAAACCTGAAGGAAGACGGGCTCAGAGTGGGTGCAATGTGTAATGGTTAGCTCATGTTACAGCTCACTTGTGGAAAGAGGTGCATCCCAGATGGGTGCTTGCTGGTGGATAGGTAGGGCAACCAGAGGAAGCTGGTTTCTACGGAGCTTCTGCAAGTGTTAAGGTCACATCCCCCTTTCATTTTCTAAATCTGTAGGAAGAACTAAGTTTTGGCAAAATTACTGGAGTATTTGGGGCTTTAGTATTTTGGTGTCATTGATTTTGGGTGGAGATTTGAAGAATGAGGCTTTGCCTCAGGAGCCTGCATATCTATATCCATATCAGCTGTACCTTGATCTCTACTTAGATATTTGGATGCCCTGGGGTGAGCACAGAGAACTTGTCAAATTGAGAGAAAGAAAAATATGAGAAATGAAGCTCAGGCCAAGCTTACTGTGGCAGTTCAGAGTGTGGAATTCAGCAGTGAAAATATTGAATTCAGCATTCAGTAGTTTAGTTCAAAGCCTGTTTGTTTTGGTTTTGGTTTTTTGTTTGTTTGATTTTGTTAGTGTGGTTGTTTTCTTCCCTGCATCTAGTGGAGCCCAGTTTAAAATAGAATCATTTAGATATTTTAAACCTGCATGACCTTTTCAGTACACGATTGAAGTCCAGGTGAGTGTGAGTGTGTTTGTATGTTGATGGCTCCTCTTTGAGGGGCAAGTGACCAGGCGGTGCTGGGTCTCCATCCCATACACTGGGCTGGGAGCTCACGCCTGTTAGCACGGGCTCAAGCCCAGACTCTGTGGGTGTTTCTCCCTTGCCTGCATTAGCTGTTCATAAGCCACTTGAAATCTAGCCAAGAGTAATAGATTTGACAAATTAGGCATATAACGAAGAACAGATTGCATTTCAAAATTGTGTGCATTAGAAGGAGAATCCAAATATTTAAAATATGTTGGTATGAACTCATTGAAAAGCCATTACTCATTTCGGTATCATCTGGTCCTGAGTTTCCTTCCTCCTCTTCCTGGCATTCCGCCTTCTAGATAGTTCACTCTTTATTTCTTTTACTCCCAAGAAAACACACACAGGAAATTCAGACCAATCGTATACTTTTTAACGTGAAACTGTGCTCAAATCTCCTTTCTCATAGGATCAAAGAATATTATAACTGGAAAAGAAGAGAGAGCAGAGCAGGGCGAGTGGGTCTGTGGCATAGCAGGAGAATGCCCTAATCCCATGGCAGACATTGCTAACTGGGAACAATCCGAAAACTGGGCCCAGGGCAGACATTGAATTGGCGTGTGAGATGAGGCATATGTGCCGTCCCTGTCTTAGAGTTTATAGAATGCCATCCCACCCTTCACGTAGGAGGAAACAGAAGCCTACAGAAGTCAAGGCACATAACTTCAGTCCCAGCAAGTCTGTGGCCAGTGAGTGAGCAGAACCCAGGGTATCTTCCTCCAGTCCAGTGCTCTTTCTGCCACCCGCTCTGCTATTGGGCTAGTGGGCCAGTCGGGTGTAGTCTGGATGCGGCTCTTAGACAGCATGGTGCCACAGTCATTGTTACCCAGAAGGGCCCCATCACTGCAGTAGGCCCTGTAGAGTCCAACATGCCATAGTCGAAGGCCAACTCTACAAAGCTTTAATCCCTGGGTTGAAACAGACTCACCACAGTGAATTCTGGGCATTCTTGTGGTTTCTCCAATATACTCCATTCTCTGACTGTCCTCTCTTTGCTGTTCCCTTTGCCTGTGATACTTTTTCTCAAGCATCAGTAGACTCAGGCCAGATGATTCATCCTTCAGGTCTCTGTTTAAAAAATCAGTCCCTCCAGAAGTCCTTCCCTGACCACCTGGATCAGACTAACCTCCCCGCTGCTCCCCTGAACCTCCCTTTCCATCATATTCTCTCAAGTGAGTGTGAGCAACATGTCTGTTTGCTCGTGCTGGTCCTTCACTGCTTACTGTGGTGCTGGGCACAGAAGTGTGTTTACTGAATGGCACTTCATTTAAATATCATCTGCTTTCTATTTGCTAGAACAAATTTAAACTTGGTGTATATACTTTCTTTCGGTTTACTTTCTTCTCTGCATACCTCTGATATATAATTTTACTTGGCATATAAAATTACATGGAGATACGAAATAAAGTTTGATATAAAATTCAGACTACAACTCAAATTGAAGACTGGAAATTGAAACATGTATTTTTTAGCCAATTCAGTTCTTTACGTTGGAGACTAATATAAGTAAACTTTATCCCATCCTAGCCCCAACAAGATGTTTCACCAATATTTGAGCTAAAAGAATGAAATTCTATCACTCATAATACAGTTCAGCAGACATACGGTGATGTGGCTATAACTGACATATTAATGGGATGTGAAGTTGTTCAATCTAAGTGATTTGTGCTGAAAATAACAAGATAACAGAGTAGACAGCACTACAGATGGCACCATATTAGTCAAGTATGGAACTTTCAAGACCAAATGTTTAAAGGAGCACCTGGAGTTTTAGAAAATAAAACAAATCTATGATCCTGAATTGTGATGGTAATTCCAGACAAATGACTTCATTGATCAGCTTCTGTTATAAAAGAGTAAGAAGGTGAATCTGTTTGAAAATTTGTTTTAGCTAATGGTAATAAATACACATCTATCAATGATGACTTTGAATGTAAATGGACTAAATGCTCCAATCAAAAGACATAGGGTGACAGAATGGATTTAAAAACAAAAACAAAAAACAAGACTCATCTATAATTTGCCTGCAAGAGACTCATTTTAGACCTAAAGACACCTTTCAGATTGAAAGTGAGGGCTTGGAGAAACATCTACCATGTACGTGGATATCAAAAGAAAGCTGGGGTGGCAGTACTTCTATTGGGCAAAATAGACTTTAAGACAAAGACTAACAAGAGAGAAAGAGGGGCACTATATAATAAAAAAGGGGGCAATCCAACAAGAAGTTCTAACAATTGTAAATATTTATGCACCCAACCTAGGAGCACCCAAATACATAAAATGGTTAACAAACATAAAGGAATTAATCAGTAATAACACAGTAATAGTAGGGGACATTAACAACCTACTTATATCCATGGACAGATCATCTAAACAGAACATCAACAAGGAAACAATGGCTTTGAATGACACACTGAACCAGATGGATATATTCAGAACATTCCATCCTAAAATAGCAGAATACACATTCTTTTCAAGTGCACATGGAACATTCTTCAGAATTGATCACATATTAGCCCACAAAACTAGCCTCAACAAATTCAAGAAGATTGAAGTCATACCATGCATCTTTTCTGACCACAACATTATGAAACTAGAAGACAACCACGAGAAAAAATCTGGAAAGACCACAAATGCATGGAGGTTAAATAACATGCTACTAAACAATGAA